GGGGGGGGGGGGGGGGGGGGAAAAAATGGCCCAGTTTTCGCAAAAATGGGCCCATGTTTAATCAAAAAAAATTGCATGCATAGCCTTCTGGAGGCTTATAGAGTGCTGCTGGGGGCTGGGTGGGCAAAAAACCACGCATTTCTTGCTCATTTCTGCCCTCCCCAGCCCCCAGGAGCTCTCGAAACTCTCCATAAGGGTATGCACGGCCATTTTGGTGAAGGGGGTGGGGCTTCGGGAGGCAAAAAATGCTGTGTTCAATGTGTAAGACATACCCAGATTTTCAGCCTCTTTTTTGAGGAAAAAAGGTGCATCTTATACTCCGAAAAATATGGTACTTCCATTATATTTGTAAATCATATTTCAAAGGGAAAAACGCATTTGCAAATACTAAGAGACATGTGGTAGTCATATGTTAGTGATCATTATCTTCTTGTCATTTCAATAATTTTATGTCCTTGACATGCATAGACTTATACAAACATAGCTATTCATTTCCAATACATGATAAATCCATGATATATAAAAGGATACACTGGAAATAAATCTGCTAGGTACAGCAACCTAATTATTTGTTAGCAGGATCTTACAGGAGAGCATTATGACTCTAAGTATCAAGGCAAACATAGCATATTATTGATACATATATATTTAAAGAAGGGAAAGGACACACGGGCTCTTTAGATTAATTTAAAAGCTATCTCTAACAGCTCAGTTCAGACATATATAAGAGATACTATCGTTTTCCCTGAAGTCTGCTGCCTGGGAGGAAGGGAGAAAGTGTCTAAAAGAAATACACCACTTGCTTCAATAATCTCCACAATTTCAATTACCCCTGAGGAAATTCACCCCTTAATAAATTAAAAAGATTGCCATCTCTTCCTTAAAGACTTCTTATTAACATTATTATGGAATTAGCATCTCTGGGGACCTATATTCACACAAGTTTATGTCACACTAGGTTTATTATCCTTTGGGGTGGTGGAAGAGTCTTGATTATAATAACCGCAATGTAGACTCATTGTATGGTCTTATGGAGGCCTTTAAAAAGGATCTGGGCAACTATCTATTTGGTTTGCCATAACTGTGAATTAATGTATCAAGTAAGGGATTAGATTAGGTCTCTTCCAACATTGTGGATAATTTCATACAATGTGTTGCTAAAAAAATTATGCCTTCAGCATTTTACATGAGCCAGGTTTACTAGTACATGGAATATTTTAGCATGGATTTTTAATGCTATATTTTTTATCTCTAGTGATCAACACTGGATACTGGTTACTTCCATAACCGAGTCAGGAAAGAAAAACAACCACCACCACACAACCATCTAAGAATAATTCATATTTAAAAGTAAGTCATTTAGCAACAGTTATCAACATCTATCCCATTTTCTTTATTTTGTTCCTAAAGTCCCTGTTCCCAGGCCAATCTTCCTCTTCAGTCTTTCATTTAACATTATAAGTCATAATATACATATAACTGCTAAAAAGGAAAAATATTAAAACAGGTGTGTGAAGTGAAAAGAAACAAAGTTCAGATAGCTAATTAAAATTATTCAGTTCAAATATCAACATCTGCTGCCGATTATACAGGATGGTGCAGAAAGACTGAAAATGATAACTAATTAATCCAGCAATGATTAAATATAGTTAATTCCGATTACAAAATAACCAATCTATGAAAATGCTGAAGTGTGCTGCTCTAATACCTTCTTTATCACCAGCACAAACAAATGGATCCTAATAAAAGATTCACCAAACAATTTTAAGCAAGAAATTGTTTCAAATGTAGATAAACATCTAGATCTCTTTAATTTGGTGGCAATTGTTTTGATCCTCTATAGAGGTCTTTACCTTGCTCTGACCCCCTATATGGAAAGTATCTCTTTGCATTCCACAAGGAACTTCAGAGACTTATAAGTATAGCATAACATCAGCTGTTCCACCAGGCAAGCAATCCAGATTGATTGATGCTAATTCAGGAGTAAGTTTCACTGATTTCAATGGATATGTGCAGATAACAGAATTGCTTTGTCATTTAACTTTTACAAGTATACATAATAATAACTGAATTATGCATCTCATTACAAAACCTGATACACTTACCTACTTAACCCTTTTCATGTTAAGCATTAATTAAGCACTTCAGCTAAGCACGCACAGAGACAATTCCTTTGGACTCCCTCGACTTATGTCTGCCCGTTTAATGACAGTTAAAGTTACGACTTTGGAAAAAATCATGTATGACCAGTACTTGCATAACAGTCATTGCACCAGCCCCGTGGTCACATGATCACAATTTGGCACTTGGCAAATGGAATCTATGACAGGCTGCAGCATCAGCAGCATCAGGTGGTAATAATTTGCAACTTCTGAGGAGTTCTAGCAAAAACAGCCACACGGGAAGATGGATTCACTTAAGGAGCATGGCGATTTGAGTAACAACCGCCATAAAAATTGGTGTGAAATCAGGTCAGACTTGACCTATGACCAGAACGATTTATGATGGAAATTCCAGTCCGAATTGTATTCATAAATTTTATTTTCTATATACAGGTAGTCCTTGACTTACAACCTCAATGGAGCCCAACATTTCGGTAGCTAAGTGAAACATTTGCTAAGTGAATTTTGTCCTATTTTACGACCTTTCTGGGCACAGTTGTTAAATGAATCACAACAGTTGTTAAGTTAGTACTGTGGTTGTTAAGTGAATCTGAATTCCCTATTGACTTTGCTTGTCAGAAGGTTGCAAAAGGTGATCACATGACCCCAGGACACTGCAGCCATCATAAATACATGCCAGTTGCCAAGCATCTGAATTTTGATCACATGACCATGGGGATGCTGCAATGGTCGCAAGTGTGAAAACTGGTCATAAGTCACTTTTTTCAGTGACATTGTAACTTTGAACGGTCACTAAATGAACTGTTATAAGTCAAGACCTACTTGTACATATTGCAGTGTGAAACTCAGTGTACTACTTGTCCATCTGAAGCCATTTAATGGCAAAGATTATTTCCATGGCTAGTACAGACCTTCACTCATACACCTAGAATGTAAACAAGGCTTATTTATTTGTGCCTCCATTTGAAAATAAATGTGTTCATCCAGGAGCAAATGTCAACTTATTTTCTTAAACTATTAAAATACTGTTTTTGAAAGTAAATAGGCTAATATTTAAAGGATTGTGCCAAAGTGTATCTTTGTACAGATTATATGCCTAGGTGCTCTTATTTTTTTTATTCTGTTTTTATCCTGTGTTTTTAAAAATATATTATGTTATTATAAAAGGAAATTTTAATAAGTGTTGCTATGGAACAATATGCACTTTTAAAAAATAGCTTTAAAGACATTCTAAGGTTTTCCTGAGAAATAAATACATGTTTCAGGGGAAAAAAACCAAGAAATGTTATTAAATCATACTATGCTATCAGATTATATTATCTAGATATCAGGTATAAAGTTTCCTCCCTCTATATTTTGTGATTACGTCTGGATATGGCATACAAGAAGAGAGAAAATACCAGCAAAACGCCACGCATACCAGGCAAATTTCATTACTTCAGGGCTTTTACACTTGCTCATAACTTGGATTTACACACTGCAAATCTTCCGATCTGATTACCTCCAGTGATCACATAAGACGTTGGATTTAAACTCTGCCTTGGTGATAAAACAGCCACTTTGATTCATAATGATATACTAACAGCAAAGTATACTGTAAACTTACCTGTCCACAGCCGGGGGCACTGCACACAAACGGCCTGTCGTCTCCCATATTTTTCCACAGTTGAGCTGCAAAGGGAAGGGAGGGGAAGGGGTGATGGAGGAAGAAGAAGAAGAAATAATTAAGTTAGCTAAAGATGAAATTTGAGTCGAAATGTGATTGTGTAGCAGCACTTTTTAGGAGTATCAATATCAATGCCATGCTTGAACAGACCACATGGTGCAAGGTAGTGGGGACGAAGAAAGACTATAAGAATTCTGGGGAGAATAAACAGATATTGAGCAGCAAGATCTGCCTGTCAGTCTGCCTGCCTCCCAGTTTGGGCCAGAAGTACATCTAGCAAAATGTGCAACAAGTGGTGGGACTTAAACCACACACACACANTCCGGGTCCACTGGTGGAACCTCTTCTAACCGGTTCGGTAGATTTGAGGAACCGGTTCTACCAAATAGGTGCGAACTGGTAGGAACCCACCTCTGGTCATGAGTATACTCCTTGATGGTGGTGGAGAGGGGAGGAATGAGGAAGCCCTGACAGATCAGATTAGGGACATATCATGGAGAAAAATTATACAGGTGGTTTGTAACAGTCAACAATGACTTAATAGTACATGTTAAACCAATCCACTAAGTGGATTTCTTTTATCTGTCAGGCAAAGGCCATTTTCTGCCATCCCAAAACTGGGATGGCAAGATTGGGAATCTATCATGTCCCACTCCATTTCCTGTCTTAATAATTTATTTTCCCCTCTGCTAGGGCTAATATAGTTAAGAGTATGGAATCTGGACAGCCGAAAGACCATGGCAGAGAGATTCAAAAACCTCTTGCTGCCATCTGGCTGCCATTTGGATTTTTGTAGCCCAGGTATAGCAGACAAACTGTTACGCATGGAAATCTATTTTTAAAAATCTGAAGAGCAGACTCAAAATTGCTACTCTCCCAGACAGAACTGAAAGGGAGTGATCCATCACCAGTCCTTTCTGTCCTTTTTTCAACCACAATCTTCACACAAGTTGTATGTGGGCAAGAATACAAAGTCAGACGTTCCCGGGGAAGTTTAATTTTCACCAATTCTGGCTAGAACATTACTAAGTCTTGGGAGAAAATTCAACTAACTCCCTGATAAGTAGTTTACATGCCACAGGGAGTTAGTTTGAATAAACTGGACCTTTTAGCATTACACGTTACTGAGATCATTGTTCTTAGAGGAAACTGAATGCGGGTTCCATATTCATGACATTTCTTTTGACCAGGAAGTAATGGGGTGTGTCATTTACCAAAAAGAACTGGTTCATTTGCTATTTCAGTCACTCTGCAAGGCATTGCAGCTCAGGCAGCAGAACTTTACTTTATTGCTTATTTACTAAACACATTTATATAGCTGCCCAACACACACACACAATATCTCCAGCCCTCCAGGTCAACCATGACTAATCCAAAAAAATAAATAATGATGAGCAGGATTTAGATCTGCTTAATATCTGGGTAAGATGACCAGCAGGAATCAGCCTTCTATTGAGAGGCGCTTCAAAATTGGCAAGCAGAGCACAGAGATGGAGTAGTTTCATACAGAAGGCTCGGAAAACAAATTCTTGCTTATTATTTAATGGATTTATAGGCCGCCCAATCCCGGAGGACTCCGAGTGGCTGAACTATTACTCTCACTGGATGAGGGAGTGACACTTATCACAAACAAAGGTGGTATTCAGCCAATTTGGACCGGTTCTGGTGTATCTGTAGTAGAAATTTTGAGTCGTTCGGAGAACCAGCAAATACCACCTCCAGCTGGCTCCGCCTTCCCACTCCCGCTGTTCGCTGACCTCTATTCCCTTGTTTTTGGGCTCAGCTGATTCACGCGGCAGAGTGGATTGTCGCACCTCAGCAGAGCTGCAAAAAACTCCTCGGCTCACCAGCACTGACACCAAGGGTGGCCTTTGAGTGCTGCACCTGCATGCAAACCATGTGTTAGGTGCGCACACGTGCAAAGCCCATGTGTGCATGCAAAGCGCACTCTTATAGAACGGGTAGGAAAGTATTTGAAATTCTGCCACTGATCAAAACCTACTGCATAGGACTGCTGTGAAGGAGGACCACTGCTGGAAGCTCCTTGGAGAAAGAGTGAAACATGTCATAACAACCAAGAAATAAGTGATAATGAATTTGTTGTATTGAAAGTGTAACTCTCTTCAATCTCCAGGGATTCCTCTCAAACAGACCCTCCTGTAAACATAGGTTCCTCTTGTTCTTTCTTCCCCAGCTCTTCCTATAGACTTGTTGTGGCCTGCCAGTAGTGGCCAGCGGAGCTGGTAGCAGACTCAGACAGTGAGATTAAGATTAAGATTTAATTTATTTGTATGCCGCCCTTCTCCGGGAGGGACTCAGGGCAGCGAACAACTCAAAAGGG